ACAAAGTCGGCTGGCAGCGCGAAGAAGGTCAAGCTCATGATAATGTCTATGATTCTCCTGGTGCACCCACGAGCCGACCTGATGGTCTGCGTGTTCACGGATGCGAGTGAAGGCCTCTGAGGTGCGTCTCTACACAAGTCCCTTTAGAGGATCTGACTCTGGCGCTTCGACCAATGATACGAGCCGATAGCGTTAAATAAGTGTGTGGTTCACAGGTGCGAGCGAGCGGTGGCCCATCGTCGAGAAAGAAGCCTTCACGATGACCGAAAGCTGCAAGCGCTTGGTCTACTTGCTGGTGCGTCTTGGAGTTTTTCGTTTGTTCACAGATCACAAAAAATCTCATGTATATCTTCAACGCCGAGGGATAGCAGCAGAACATGGCAAGGTACCAAGCCCAGAAGCTTGAACGCTGGGCTCTGACGATGACCTCCTTTCCGTACACCATCAAATTTATGTAGGGAGGTGAGAACGTGTGGGTGACCTCTTGAGCCGTTGGGGTGCGTCAGCTGTCAAGGCGCATCTCAGCGTGTGTGCAGCCTGATGACAGTGGTATCACCCTGCAGTGGAAGGATTTCGAGTGGCCAAAGACGGCGGCTCTGGTGGCGGGCGAAGTACCGCCGCGGAACGTTCAGAGAGGAGGCCCGAAACCTGCTGGTCCACGGCCAAAGCATCTGGATTCCGTCTGGGGCCGCCGACTAGAAGCAGCAGGTGTGCATCATCGCGCACCAAGAGGCCGCGGGACATTGCCGAATCGACGCGTCCGCAATGCCGTGAAAGATACGTTTGTGTGGGCTGGCCTGGAGAACGACGCAGTAGGATTCGTACGTGGATGCCTCCATGCCTCCATGTTCTCGTAATGGACAGGCGGGTAGTACCCCGGCCGTTGGGTGCGGCGCTGCATGCGGAGAAACCCAGCAAACTGATCCACTTCGGTTGGCTCTCCATGCTGACGGCTACCAACGATTGGTGCAAGTTACTCGTAATCCAAGACGATCTCAGTGGTTTTGTGCTGTTGTACCCCGGCGAGACAAGAGATCCGGCGCGGCGATTGTGGCGGATCCCATGGACTTGTTCACTACATTTGGCTGTGTCAAGACGTGAGTCTCGAACCAGGGCTCGCATTTCAACAACGTAATGATGGAGTGGCTGAATAGGATAATGGAACCGCATCACAACTTTGCCACGGCCTACAGCCCGTGGGCCAACAGCACGGTCGACGTGGTTAAGCGTCTGATCCTCAGCGTGGTGAATCTGCGTGCCGACGAGTGGCACCACCTGATCCCGCTGGTCGAGGGAGCGCTCAATCACTTGCCCAGCGACATGTTGGGTAACGAAGCGCCGGTGACAGTGTTCACGGTGCTGCTTGCGTCGATGCCGCTCATTACATTCCTCCACCCACGGACAAAAGTAGTCAAGAATGTTGACTTCCTGGAGGGGCTCAGAAAGAAGCATGTACAGGAGCTCAAGGCTGCGTTAGATCAACTGAACCGGGACGTCGCGACTTCTGGGACCAATAAGCGGGCCCAAGCGCGCGCACTTAACGACAAGCGCCGGGGGGTGACCTTGTTGACCTTTACGTCTGGGGATTTTGAGCTGGTTGGCCACGTGTGTCGGGAGCCCAAAAAGTTGACTCTGAACTGTCAAGGGCCGAGAAAGGTGTCCTTACTGACTACATCATGAAAACCTAATAGCTGCTGCCGCCGTATGGCCTGTCGGCCCACTACATATACCGGTTGAAGATGTACAGTGAAGGTGGCCGTGAGCTCGCCGAATACCTTGTGGAACACATTGTATTTGACGATCAAGGGTTCCATGTGGCCAAGTTGGACGGCCTGCGGAAAGTGGATGGGTAGTACCAGATTCTGGTCCACTGGATCGGTCTGGACGGTTCGAGGCCTTCTGGGAGCCGGCCGACTAGTTGTAGGCGGACGTGCCGGTCGTGATGAGATGTCGGGCCCACGCGAACTGGGCGAAGGCGGGCATGCAAGAAATTATGAGGCCTTTGGAGTTTCGTTGCAGTGGGAGGAAAAGACTTCCTAAAGGGGGAAGAGTTCAATGTCGCAGTCCTCTGTGATCATCGCGAAGGGTTGGTTCACATTAGCGAAGAGTCTAGGGCGGCTAGTAGGCGCATCGAGTACAGTCGAGTATGCGGGTCAGGCGGGTGGTTAGAACGAGAGCCTTTCACTGGTGACTTAAGGCCAGCCAAGTTGTATGAATACAAGTCACTTTACGATTGGAATCAACCTCCGGACAAAGAGCTTCCGACTAGCGATAAGGCGGGAGATACAACAGCCAATTGATATCGTCAACTGTCACTTACGGTTGTTTGACCCAGTCCAAAACCATGGGAGCCTTGTGGATCGAAGAAGCATTGCCATGTTGGAACTTGTAATCGTTGCGGTGCTTGGAGTAGGCAAAGGGCAACATGAAGTTCGAGATGGTGTCAATATAGGCTTTCACATCTTGTCTGCCATCCAGATTCGCCAACTCAGCCTTGCCCTTGCTGCTGAAACCACTCCAGACCATGACCCAGCCACCTCCATTCTGGCGCTTGGAATATTGTTCGTGTCGCCCCGTCGGTCGGCCCAGCCGTAGTTGTAGCCATCTGGACCGTCCAGGTTCCAGCATCCGCATTGTTGTTATCTGTGATTGGTGAATTAATTGAAGCGTTTCGGCAAATAATAGCAAAGTAGCCCAGAAAGTAGGTACGATGTCATCACCGCATCCGGTGCAGCAAATTAGTGGGCGAGGCCGAGGCGGTCCCGTGACTACTGCGCGCAGTCCTTTTGACGCTGCTCCCCATGGGGCACGACGTTGGCAAAGCCCTTGATCTTGAGGCAGAGAGGTTGATGGCGTACAAACAGGTCGTACGGATAAGTATCCGAATAATTTTGACGAGGCAAATTGAACAGTGCCAACGACGGCGGCTCTGGTGGCGGGCGAAGTACCGCCGCGGAACGTTCAGAGAGGAGGCCCGAAACCTGCTGGTCGACGGCCAAAGCATCTGGATTCCGTCTGGGGCCGCCGACTAGCAGCAGCAGGTGTGCATCATCGCGCACCAAGGGGCCGCGGAACATTGCCGAATCGACGCGTCCGCAATGCCGTGAAAGATACGTTTGTGTGGGCTGGCCTGGAGAACGACGCAGTAGGATTCGTACGTGGATGCCTCCATGCCTCCATGTTCTCGTAATGGACAGGCGGGTAGTACCCCGGCCGTTGGGTGCGGCGCTGCATGCGGAGAAACCCAGCAAACTGATCCACTTCGGTTGGCTCTCCATGCTGACGGCTACCAACGATTGGTGCAAGTTACTCGTAA